CGGAAAATGGCCGCGGACCACGTGGCACGGCGGAAAATGGCCGCGGATCCGGTTTGTACCCTGAGGCGGAGTTCGCAAACCGAGGTAAATTTTTGCGGCCGGAGCTGGTCGCAACCCGAAAAGTTCGTAAGCAGAGGCGTTCGTAACCCGAGGTACCACTGTAATGGCCTTCATGCAACCTGTGTCAGGTTCCTGGTCAACGGGGACACCTAAGTAGCTCATTCTTTCTAGATGTTCTTGCAATACACCACCAAAACAAACAATGTTGCCTGCAGGATAAAATATCATAACTGGCTGGCTGGCAAATTCATTATCATATCATTGAGATACACGTGGCAGATTCATACCTCTCTCGTTGAGTTCATATGTCTGGATGATATGATGAGCTTGCTGCAAGCTTGCTTCTTCACCTTCACCCTGGTCATGCAGAAATTCCTGCAGTTCCTCAGCAGAAAGCACACAATCCTCGCCTGAGTATCGGTGGAAGATGTCTTCTAGCTCAGGCCGTTTCATTAGCCGTGTACAGAATTCTTCAATCTCATATTCCTCCAAGCGGTCATTATTTGATTTGTCACACTCCTGATAAAAGAGAGACAGCAGAATAAATAAACGGCAATGAAAACTGTATCAGAGGCACCTGATCAGCAACTGAGTGACTTACATGGGAAAAGGCAAGTTTTAGGACTTTCCCAGCCTGGTGACTTTTGGATGTACCGATACCATAATTCCCCGATGTCCCAGCTAATACGGTTGTCAGGAATTCTGGGAGTTGCAGTCCCAATGTATTTAAAGTATATCAGTTTGGGAAAGACTGCACTGTACTAAGAGCTATCTGCTTTTTCCCCTTTAAATTGCATTTAAAACCGGTAATAAAAACAAAGCAAATCTGCATAACTTATACATTGTTTGGTCTTGTCTTTGTAGCAACAGAAATGTGAAATTATGAAAAGCATTAAAAACTACATGGATTTGGAGTGAAATATGACCTGGGACCCAGATTCCATATTATTTGTTATCAAAAGTTGGATTAGTGAAGAACATAAAATCACCAAATAAAGAGACAATGCTGCCTTATCTCATGCCCATGGATTGCATGGAGACTTTTGAACAGAGACTTTTGTACAGAGCCCTGGAGTTAATAACCCAGCAAGACAGAGAGGCCTACAAATTCAAGTGTAATGAAAGGGAGACTAAGAGAAGTGGACTAGTATGTTCCATCTGTTCATTATGGCCCTAGGACTGACCAAGTACCATGTTCTGTGTGGGGATGCTCTCAAGGTGATTCAGAATCTTCATTTAGAGTAGAGCGGGTAACGTGTTGGACTAGACCAGAAGACCCAGGTTGAAGACCACCTTTAGCATGGAAACTCCTCCCTGGGTGACTTTGGGCCTCTCTTGCTCTCTCTCAACCTATAACCTTCCTCACAGCATTGCTGTTGTGGAGATAAAATACAGGGAGATCCCCAGGTAGACTTCATTGTGCTCTTGGAAGAAAACAACATGTTAGAGCAGGGATATTTTTTCCTGTTTCCCCTGACACCCATCAATTAAGCTACTCTGATCTTACCCTAGAAAGATCTGGGAAAAATTGATAAAAGAAGGAAGGAGCTAAGAAGGGACAGTGCCTGAATAGGCAGCAGACCACAGGAAGAACGGAGTGATCTAGCAAAACAAGAGCTTGACTAGAAGGCCAGAGAAGGAACCTGGGCAAAGAAGGAAACCAGAAAGACAGAAGTCCTGGATTCTATGGCTTAACACAGGCAATTTCATCAAGTACCTTATCCAGAGAAGATATGTACAAGTGGCATGCCACAACTTAGAGGAGATCACTCATATCTTCTTTGACTGCCAACTATATCTTCAGCTAGAGCACAGCATTTAATGTCACAAATTGACAGAAGAGCCCATTGGGACCCCATCAATAAGCTACCTTACTTCCTCCAAGATACAAACACAGGGAGAGTAATAAACACTGCCAACTTTATAGCTAAAGCTATTCAAGTGAAACTTTCCTATCTAGATCAGATTGGGGTCAATTGCCAAAGGGATGATCTTACCTGATTATTTCACTGGATATTTTTATATCCCAATCCGCTGTATTATTTTATCTCATTTTATTTGATATGGTAATTAGACTAATCAATAAACAATAAACAAACTAAGCTAAAGAGAGACTATTTAGAAAGGAAAGGCTAGGAAAAATGCACAAATTAATAATATTGGCCTGAAAGAATCAGCCACTATAATTTGTATAATTATTTTAGGTAACCTTTCAATCTATACTATTCGCAAAACATCAAGTACATCCATGGTAATAAATCAAAACAATTTAAGGTCTATCTAGATGGATAGTGCTCTCAATCAAAATGTATTGTGAAGTTCTCCCATCCATTCCTTTAACAGATTTTTCTAATTAAAGAAGAGAAACATGATCATGATAAAAACAGTTACAGACACATGTGGATCCTAGACAAAATTCTATGAATGAGTCTAGAAATAATCTCAGACAGCAGCTGGAAGGAAGGAAGGAAGGAAGGAAGGAAGGAAGGAAGGAAGGAAGGAAGATGCAAATCTCAGACTTCAAACTGTCTCATCTACAATTCCTCTGTTGTAGTTATTTAAAAATGGTATTTAGGGTCATTAGAGAGACACATTTCTCATGACCTTTTTTTTTAAAAAAATAAGGAAATAATAATTTTCCTCCAGAAACTCAAGGCAGGGGATCTCTCTTCATTTTACCCCAACAATAACCTTGTGATGTAGGTTGATCTATGAAAGAGTAGCCCAAAATCATCCAGAGAATTTCCATAGCTGATAATAGATATGAATCTCAGTCTTTGTCCAACACTTCAACTACTACAGGAACTATGGAATCTGCAAAGGTGCCAAAGCACCTTTTGTTCATCAGGAATATGAAACTATAGATGAGAATGCCACAAGATAGAACCCAAAAGGCCAGACAGAGAATAAAGTTTTGCCAGAAAGTACCTTGAAGAGCTGGTAGGCATAGATGTCATTCATATCTATGTTTACTATACGCAACATGTTTTTGATCTCTTTGAAACTCATCTTATTGTCTTTGTTCTTGTCAGCCTGGTGTAAGATGCCATGGATCCAGGTGGCGCTTGATGTAAGGAAAGTGCAAAAGAACTGGGAACCATCAGCCTTCAAATTTAATTTCACTCTCCTTCTGTCTTACATAGTTAATTCAAGAAAACAGTGAGGGCGGCTAAGAAGATGAGTCTTAAGACAGACTCTTATGAAACAAAAGAAGAGTTGGGGCATGTTTTACCTGGAGAGGACAGGGTTCAAAGGCTATATATCAGCCATCCACAAATATTTGATGGCATAAATTTCTATCTAGTTCCTGGACATATGATATAAAAACCCTTACTAAATTCAAGTTGTTAAAAAGAGAAATTCCTGGCAGTAAAAGCTGTTTCAGAAGAAAATAAACTGCTTCAAAAGTCAATGGATTCTTCTTTGTTAAGTAAGGGCTTTCAAACAGAGAATGGTTACACTTCAATGACATCACTGCCACAGATTCCTTCACTGATACAGGTTGGACTAGTTAGCCTTGGAGGCTTCTTTCAAACTTTTGGATTCTATGGCCATTTCCCCACTTATTGGGGTATCATAGCATCCCCCGTCATGGTTGGAAGTATATAAAGCCTGTCCTCATTTCCACTATTGGAACCAACGATGGTTGGATAACTCCAGAAGATGCTACGCTAGGGGGAAAATGCCCTGATTCTAATTCTAATTGCTTCTTTTATGCATCACCAGTGTGTAGCAATTCATGGAACCAAACTCCAAATCCAAAATGTGGCTCCAAATCCCATTTCAAATATGGTACTATATGTATTTTTTAAACTTAGATGTCTGGTACTTAACATTTGTAGTGATTCAGCAAGAGCCTCTTTCTCCTTTCTAAAATCTATACCTCAATTCTAAGAAAGAACAATACCACCACACTCCTAAGTCTTTGCAGGTATAGAAAGAAAGGATATTGCTCAAGCTTTTCTCGCTGGCTCATGGCTTCACATCTGGCCATCAGTTTTGTGAGTCCTCTCACCCACTGCTGGGCTTCAGTCCCAGTCCGGGCAGCCAGATCCAGGTTTTTCCGTTTCCCCCTGAAGACAATAGTGAAGCACTGCTCTTCCGCAAAAGAACCACCAAATTTCCGAAGCCCTTCAGACTGATAACCTTCACGTACACCTTCAACATGTAGGATGGAGACTGAAAGACAAGGCATCAAAGGGAGTCATTCATGGAGAGAGATCAAAATTAAATGACAAATTATATTAGGCATTCTGGGTATCTCAACTCACCAAATTCTTACCACTTTCCAGTGAAGAATTTTTCATTTGCTATAAGAAAGCTGAGAAAGGCTATGGTAAAGCATATGCTTAGCATGCAAAAGGTCCTAGGCTCAACCCAGAACACTTCAACATAGGGCTGGGAAAGCCAGCCCCTGAGACCCTGGAGACCTGCTGTCATAAGTGCCAATCAACCCTCCCTGATCTGATGCCTCTCAACATCTGATTCCAACTCCCATCATCCCAGATCAACAGAGAGAAGGTGAGTCTCAACTAGATGGAACAGTGGTTGGATATGATACAAGGCAGTTTTCTTTGTTTCATCTATTGGAGGAGTTACAGTGTCTGGAATTGTGATGGAATGGAATTATGAAGGCCACACTCAGGGAGGGAAACATCCTCTTTCATCTCCT